CTCTCTCTCTCTCTCTCTCTCTCTCTCTCTCTCTCTCTCTCTCTCTCTCTCTCTCTCTCTCTCTCTCTCTTGTCAGTCGCATACTCCCCAGTCAGGCAGGCAGATCTGCGGTGGTCCTTCTTGTGTGTTTGTGATCCTTGGTTGGCGCTGTAAATCTCTGTGTGCAACCTGTTATCTTCTATTGCCACTTGTCATGGGAGTTAAGCTCGGATAACTGCAGTCTTTGGGTCTCATGTATAACATTTCCTGTGCTGCAGCAAGTGGACAATGCTCACGCTTGCAAGACTTCTTCAAGCTCGAGGTGATGAGAAAGATCTCAAAGAGGTTCGGCACCTGTTGAAGCACCTGATGTTGGTCGACCCATATCATGAGGGATACTACGAAGATATTCATAGTCAACTGGCTTTTGAAGAGGTATGTGGAAATAAGTTCAAATAACCAATTTCCTGTTGATCACGATGGTTCAAAATCATACAATGTATTTGCTGAGATGAACCCCATTTCATTGAAGTGATGTATACACATAGAACATATGCACTCGTCGCAGAGGTTTTCTGCTTGTGTTTCCTGCTCCCATTCGCGGCCATGTATCTCCTCCATGTCCTTGTGCTATCCGCGCAGATAGGTGGTGGTGTCTCTACGCCTTTTTTCTTGTTCCTATATTTCTTGTGGCTGCTTGCTGTTCTATTTTCTCTCGACTTCTATGCAGAATGCATCTTTTGCTGTATCCTGTAGGCTATAGAGTTGGGGTCTCATAAATACAGCAGAAGACATTCGCCTCTGAATGTCACAAATTTCACCACATTATTATCTACATTATACTACATACGTCTGGAGGTCTTGTTGATCATGGCCTCTTTCGGAGGGCTGCTGCACCCCGCGAGGGTTTTTGGGTTCGAAAACTTCGAACGCTTCACCCAGTCGGTTTCAATGCAGTCCTTCCAATGGCTAGATTGCCATCTCCACGACGGCATTTACGTCCTTCCCGATGGACACAAATGGGCCCTCAGCYGTTCGTTCCGCAATCCCCTTTTGCTCAGCCCTCACCTGCTCCACCTATTCCTGCATCAGCTAATCCTCCTCACACATCACCCCTTTTGCCGACACCCGCTGGCTCCCATGTTGCACCTCTTTTGCCAAAACCCTCTCGGCCTTTGCCTCTCCTCCCAACGCCTTCGCCTCCGTCATTTGCTATTGATCTTCGTCCAGGTCCCCAACTCATAATTCGTACCTCACTCCATCGCCTTCTTCATGAAGCTGCTTCGGGTAACTGGTGTTGTGTCAAGGCTGACATTGAGCAGGCACAACCAGCGTGGCGGGCACGACTTTTGCAATGGCTTTATAATAATGTTTCCAATGCGGACATGACAGCAGACATTCGAGAACTCGAATGCCTCATCCGAAAATCCCAGCATACCCGCCAACGTTACACAGCACAACCACGTGACCCGTTTACTGACCATATTAAGGTCGTACATGTGCATGAGGTAGTTCGTGCCACGAACTTGCGCCATGTGTTGCAGTTGCCAGAAGTAGTTGCATTGCACCCTGACCCGCAAGCGGCCGCACATGTTCGTGTATGTGACA